ACTCCATTTTATGTTCTTGTCCTCTTTGTCAAATATTAACTGACCATATTTGACATGAGTTTGTTTCTGGCTCTCTATTTTGTTCCACTGGTCTATGCGTCTATTCTTAGTCCTATACCAGACTATTTTGGCCTTCTAATATAATTTGATATTAGGTATTGTGATCCCTCCTATTTTGTTGTTCTTTCTAAAAATTGTTGAGTATACTCATTGTTGTTTATGGTTCCATATAAATTTTTGAAATATTTGTTCTACATCTGTGAAATATGTAATTGATATTTTGATAGGGATTACATTGAATCCAGAAGTAATTCTTCATGGTCCCATGTCCTATGAACTAAAAGGGAATTTATCTGCCTCACCTATAACCTACAAACTCCTAATAAACAAATATTTCTCACTTCTTAAAAGACATGGCATATATATTATTTCATTTGCATTCCATTGGCAGGAGCTAAACACAAGACCGCACCAGACTGTAGGAGAGTTTGGAATACATAGCTGAGACAAAAAATGAGAAGGAACTTTATTGTGATGGGTAGGTAACAAAGCTGCCAGTCTAACTGGCACACAGTCTAATTTGAGGAATGAGATACAACAATGAAAAATTAGGCTTCAGGTAATATTGACTATGAGGCATGCCTACAATATTTTGGTTCTAAATGAGCAGTCGGTAGTCAGTAGTTTTCTATGAGAGATTAGAGGTCACTTCCCCTATGACAGAGAATGGCAGGGCATAGACTTAGTCCGACAGAAGGGTATTGTTCCCAAGTGAAATGCAAAACTCAAAAAACAAGGAAAATACTTCTTATTTAAAGGAAAAAAATCCATGGATTACAGAAGAGGACTGCAGCTTTACAGGTACATCATTTCCCAAGAATCACTCTGGATTGTCTGGAGACTGTGTTTAAGGTAACTTTAGATCTCAGGGATTCGAGGGTAGAAAATTGTTTAGGAACAGGTCAAAAATGATTTGATAAGGTTGGACTTCCTCAGGTTACACTAACAGTGAAGGGCTGGTGAAAGGTAGGGACAAATCCTCATTCTCTTCAATGCTACTTCAGTTTTAGCTTCACCATTACATTTCTGTCTGTTTTCTGAATGTGAATATGTTTGTTTGTAGATTTTTTGATATGTAGTTTCTAGAACTTTTGGCAAAGAAAAATTGTACAAGACAAGTTAAACCATCAAGGGAGACTTTATCCATACTATTACAATAGGAGAGAGACATTGAACTCAGCTCCACTGAAACAAAAGTCAACAGAGTTTTTTAGAACTGGGGTGGATGAGTACTAGGGTGGGAAAGTACTGGAGGACCTTAGGTGGTAGGTTGGTCAATGCAGTTTGGCCACCTGTGTTTGCTAATTGCTGCTCATTGCAGTTAGGCTCATATTCTCCCCCAGAGGCTAGAAGACAGGAGATGATTACATTTCAAGTAATGGCTCTCAAGTCCTTGAGAAAATATTCCTGGGTTATAAAACTGGCAACAAGATATGAGAAGTTTTACATCTTAAAGACAGAGAAAAGGAATTTATAATGGAAAGTTTTCTAGAGTGAATATTCTAAGAAAAGACAGGTCAGAAGCCTATAGTTAGAAGACATGTATGTAATGTTTAGTCAGTCTGAGGGAAACACTGAGGTGACAGCCACTAAAGTATAAAATATTTAAACAAATAACAAAGGAGAACTTCCCCAATCTGGCAAATAAAATACACTTACAGGAAATCCAGGAAGCTCAGAGAGTCCCAAAGAAGGTGGACCCAAGGAGGAACACACCAAGGCACATCGTAATTATGTTACCCAAGATTAACATGAAGGAGAGAATTCTAGAAACATCAAGAGATAAGGGGACTGTCACCTACAAAGGACTTCCCATCAGTCTGTCAGCAGATTTCTCAAAAAAGACCTTACAGGTAAGAAGAGGCTGGAAAGAAGTATTCCAAGTCATGAAATCCAAAGACCTACATCCAAGATTGCTCTATCCAGCAAAGCTTTCATTTAGAATGGAAGGACAGATAAAGTGCTTCTCAGATAAGACCAAATTCAAGGAGTTCATCATCAGCAAGCCCTTATTATATGAAATGTTAAAAGGACTTATCTAAGAAAAAGAAGATAAAAAAAGATGAACAGTGAAAGGACAGCAAACTCACAGTTATTAACAACCACACCTAAAACAAAAGCAAATTAAGAGGACAGCTAGATCAGGAGTGAACCATAGAAATAGAGATCACATGGAGGGTTAGCAACAGGGGAGTGGGAGGAGGAGGAGAAGGGGGGAGAAGGTACAGAAAATAAGTAGCATAGACAGTAGATAGAAAATAGATAGGGGGGAGAGTAAAAATAGGGGAAAAACAGAATCTAAAGAACTTGAGACACATGGTCATAAACTAAAGGGGGGAATGGTAGGAGTGGGGGGTGCAGGGTGGAGGGGAATGAAGGAGGAAATAGAACAACTGTAATGGCATAATCAATAAAATATATTATATATGTAATATAATATATAGTACAGTGTAGATGCAGTCATCTATTCATGCAGTCCAAAAATGCATTAGCTGTGTGGTGACTCATATAAATCTCTCAATTTAAATGGTTCATCTAAATCATGTAAAATGACTATAGGTGTTGGCTTTTAGGAAACAAAGCTAAGAAATTTCCTTTGGTTCTACACTTGGTTCCTTTGATATTCTTTGTTACTTCTATTCTCGAGTAAACCTTAATTTTAATAATTATATATTTTATATAGTCATCCAAACCTTTGGAAAAATATTGAAGTGGGTAAAGCTAAAGTGATAATATACAGGTTATCTATTTTTATTGGAAAACTTATGCCCAATTGGTAACAACTAACACAATTATATTAGCATTTAAGACACCAGTCTCCACTTCTCATAAGTATTTGATAAATACCTGGCCAAAATCCAGATATACAATGTCTACACTGTCTCCCAAATCCTAACACAGAAAAGAACCAGTTAGTGTGATGTGACTAATTTCAGGGTGGTCTTCTCTTGTCATCCATGCAATAAATTTAACCTTTAAAAATTTCATGTTTCTCCTCTGAATATTTGGGAAACTTAATTTGTTGGGAACCACCCTACCTGGTTTCAGAAGCTGTAACCCCTTTTCCCCATGGCTAGGGCTGAGTAAAAAGACCTTGGGATCATAGCCACTAAAGAGACAAAACTTATCCTCCCAGTAGGGCACAGCCTCTGCCCCCTTTCTTTCACCCTGCTAGGCCCCTGGAGGATGGCTGGTTAGTCAATGAAGGTAAGATTCCTCAAGGAAGAAACAACCTAAGACAGGCACAGTCATAAAGGGACCATCAGGGAAGGACTTAGAGGACTATAGAAAAGGGGTGATGGACTTTCACCCCTTGGCTTTGTCATAGTCTGAGTCCTCATTCCATCTGCATGAAATCTCCTAATCTCTTGGCTGCCTTACTTCCTTCGCCTGACTTAAGCCTAAAACAAGGCTGGAGGCAGGTGTGGCCCTGTGCTGGGGGTGATCAGGCCAAAAAAGATAGCATAAAATCCTGTGAAACATGTTTTGCTAAGAATGCCCTCAATTTAAATGTTGAGTCCAAACACAAAATGAGTTTTTTTCCCAAAGATTTATGGCCCTTTGGGGTCACTATATCTATCTGACCCTGACTCAGAGTAAGCCTTTATAGTTCTTTGAATGTTATCTATTCCTTGATCGTTACTGCCTGACAATGATTGACAAGCTTTATGTATATGCCCTGTATTGGTATGTAAACTAAACCCAAAAAAAGCCCATAGAGAAAGAGGCTTAAGTGCTTCCTCCTATGAGTGTCTGGTCAACCTTTCCTCCCCAAGCAGATCATGTCTTGGTAGACTTTTCTAATCTGCAGCAGCCAGCTCTGTGAGTAACGCCCCCCTACATTCATCTAATTTTATTTGTATTAATGGTTCTTTTCTATTACTATTACTTTTTATTATTTTATGATTACTCCAATTTTTTCTTTTATCTTTTCAAAGAGTTTGTATAAACACTTTTTGGTTACAATGTAATGACTTGTTTTTCTTAAAAATAATGTTATGAGATGAGGCATTTAAAAATATTGTTTTATTATTCTTAGATTAAATCCTCCCAAATTATGGGTGTATATATCACAGGTGGTCAAAAGTAGGTTTACAGTAGTGAGTATGTGAAACAAAGTTTGTTCTTGCATTATTATTCATTAATCATTGTATTATTTTCCACACAAACAACTATAAGCCTACTTTTGCCATTCCCCATACATGTCTTATATTTCTCCTGTAACTTTGAGGTGGTCCTAACCCTTAGTTACTTATAAAATAATTGATTCCTTATATGATTATTTTGCATCATTAATGTCTCTCATGAACACTTTGAAAGATTTAGCTCTTTGGCAATTTTAATGTTCTTGACTTTGTAGGGTGCCCTTGTCATTCCACAGTAGGCCCATTTTTTTTCTTTTCAAAGAGAGCTAATAATATTCCGTTGAGATAAGGAACTTAAGTTTTAACTAATGATCTTAAGTTTTAACTTTTAGTAAAAAAAAAGAAGTAAATTTTTACTATGAAATTAATGTAATGATCGCTAAGCCTCAAGAATTTATAAAGAAGTTTTACTTAACTTTTTAAAAAGTGATATAACTATTAAAGTTAATTTTTATTTTTATTTATGAAATAAATTGAAATGAGATGAAATTTAAATATTTCTAAATTTCATAAATATAAAATAAGTATACAATAAATGATTGATCATTCTGTCCCTTTAAAAAAATTGAGACTTATCAGAAAAAGAAAAAATTATTATAAATTCTCATAATTTCTTAGCAAAAGGAATAGTCACAATATCCTGTCATTAAGCATATGAGAAATGGTAATGATTATGATAAAGAACTGATTTATTTTTATAGACTTAACAAAATTCCATTGGTAGTGTAGTAATTAATGATATAGTATAGCAAGAGAATTTTCAGAAGTAAAGGTACACTGAAAATTAAAGATTTAGTGCTCGCTTTGGCAGCACATACACTGAAACCAGAATGGTGCAGAGAAGATTAGCATGGCCCCTGTGCAAGGATGACATGCAGATCTGTGAAGCATTCATATTTTAAAAAAAGAAAGAAAATTAAAGATTTAGTCCTTTGTAGTCAGGGAAGCCACACAGATTCTTAAGTTATAGTAAGGTTATAATTCTATGGAAAATAATGAGCTCATATATTTAACATCTGTACTATGGAATAATCATTATTAAATTAAAATTCTAAGATGTGTGGTCAATTTTCATACTGTTGAGCCACGACCTTGGATTTAATTGCTTGAGCCGAACACATTGAATCAAGTCCTTCTGACAGTGAATATGCTTAGTTGACCCTCTAGTATTTGGATTTCGATGTACTTATGATGCTGTTTGTTGAATATATAATACTTTAGCAAGTGAAGAAAAAACCCACCAGCATGTATTTCCTAAGTCTTCTGCAAAAAAAAGTATCAAAAACTGGTGTTTAAAAACAACAGAACCATATTATCTCACAGTTTTGGGGACTGAAAGTTAGAAACCAAGGTTTCAGCAGGGCACACGTCCTCATCAGGCCCCAGGCATTAATTCTTTCTTGCATTTTCCTAGCTTCTGGCGATTGCTAACAACCCTTGGCATTCCTTGTTGAGTAACTACAACACTTCCAATCTATCTGACACGTCCATCTTTTCTCCGTGTGTGTCTGTGTTTTCACATAGCCTTCTTACATGAACATTGTCAGTGGGTCTGGGGCCCACTCCAACCCTGTATGACATCATTTTAACTTGATTACATCTGCAAAGGCTCTGTTCCCAAATAAGGTCACCGTTACAGTTTTTAAGGGTTAGAACATCTCTATATCTTTTAGGGGGAATACAATTTAACTCACAATGCCACAAAACTTTGTTCTTATGAGAATTAACCAGCTAAGAAATCCAACTACTGTGATCTGGCCTAAAAACATGATTATTCTTAAATATGAAACAAAGGCTTTGAATTATGTAAAATGCAGTGTTAATCCATTTTATACACACATGCACACACACACACACAAGAAGAGAATCTGTTGTTTAGAATATACAAGCTATAATATCCCTTTCCTTGTTACAGACTTGAAATTATTCTGTAACAAGAGTTTGGATGCAGGTTTGGTATGTGATTGTGAATGTCCATTCATACTTACCTGTATTATCTACATTGCTTTTCTAGATAATCTCAGATTAACCAGAGTATTGTGAAACTGTCTTATGTTGGCTATCATCTCTTTAAAACTTCTATTACTCTAGAAATCACTTTTACATTTTGTGAATGAAAAGAGATTGCAGTTATTGCACGTTCCTTTAAAAATATTGTATTTACTTATTTTTTAGAGGAAGGGGAAGAGAAGGAGAAAGAATGAAATATGTGGTTGCCTCTCAAGCACCTTCCACTCGGGGGCCGGCCTGCAACCCAGGCTTGTGCCTTGACTGGAAATCAAAACTTGACCCTTTGGTTTGCAGGCTTGTGCTCAACCCACTGAGCCACACCACACCACACCACAAAGCCACACCCAGGAAGCCTGGGCTTACTGCACATTATTGATGTGTATAATCACTGTCTATTTATCATAGGATTTGTTTTCTCATAGTGTTTAGTGCAAAGTTTGGGAGTGCTCATAGAAGCCATGCACTCACTGAGGCTAATGTATACCATTGAAATCTATTACTTGGAAACTATTCTTCCACTGAATGAAAGGGAGAAAAATTAAAATTTAATAAAAGCTATAATTTTTGAGAGAATGTGATGAATTAAAATAACTCATAGTGATTAAGGAAAGAGATTAAATATAGATGTACCAAATTGTTAAAAGCTTTAATGCATACTTTCTAAGAACTTGTAAAGACTAAACTATATTCAGGTTTTTCCATTCCCATATTTTAAATAAAATGCTTGATTTAGAGAAGTGGGTATCTCTGAAAGATAATGTAGATAGCAATTCTGTTACGTACTAATTTTAATTATATTTTTAAGTAGCATGTAGCCACTCTTAAATTAAAAAATATTAATCAATTATCTTGATAGTCTTAAAAATCATGAAGAATAAATATCTTTTGTTTTTTGTATTCATATTTTGACCAAACTTTTACATTTTACTTTAAAAATTTGAATAAAATAAGCATTTTTGGTATCTATCATCCTTCCAGCTTGTCCAGAATATGTCACCATGTCTGACATATATTTAGGAACATACACAAAAAAATTTATGTTGCATATTTTTACTAAAGAACAAAATATAAATTTTCTAATTGTCATTTATGACTAAGTTTTCCAAAGGAAATTGATGACATTAAAAAAAATCTTATAGTATGTCAGAATATATATTTTTCTTTACCCACCCCTGCAATATAGAATCTAAGCAAGATCTAGATGTCCTTTTAGTTTGCTTTTGTTTTAGGTGTGGTTGTTAATAACTGTGAGTTTGCTGTCCTTTCACTGTTCATGTTTTTTTAACTTCTTTTTCTTAGATAAGTCTCTTTAACATTTGGAAACATAGAAATGAAGATCTCAAGGAGGGTTAGCAACAGGGGAGTGGGAAGAGGAGAAGGGGGGAGAAAGTACAGAAAATAAGTAGCATAGATAGTAGATAGAAAATAGATGGGGGGACAAGAATAGTATGGGAAATATAGAATCTAAACAACTTGAGACACATGGTCATAAACTAAAGGGGGGTAATGGGGATGGGGAGGTAGGGTGGAAGGGAATGAAGGGGGGAATAGAACGACTGTAATGGCATAATCAATAAAAAATAAATTAAAAAAAAAGAATCTAAGCAAGAAACTGTGCTTAACAGAACAACATAGTTTGCAAATGAACTGCTATCCCATTCAACAATTTATTGGAAAATTTTGTATATAAACTTTATAGCCTCTAGATCAGTGTTACTAAAACTGTGGCCCTCAGAACATCTCCACTGAAATCATTTGGGGTAGTTTTTAAGAGTACAGATTACTAGGCCACATCCCAGCCCTCTATAATCGGGATGTGGAGCATTGTCCAAAATTTTTCAATTTTAATAAACATCACTATTGTGTTTTATGTACTCTTATTTTATTTTATTTTTTAAATTAAATTTTTTTGATTATGTTGTTACAGTTGTCCTGATATTTCCTTCTTTATCCCCTTCCACCCAGCACTCCCAATTCCCTCAGTCAATTCCCCTACCACTGTTCGTGTGCATGGGTCAAGTGTATAAGTTCTTTGGCTACTTCATTTCCTATACTGTACTTTACATCCCCATGGCTATTCTGTAACTACCTAGTTGTACTTCTTACTCCCCTCACCTCTTCACCCATTCCCCACCCCCACCCCCAATCTGGCAACCTTCCAGTAACTAACTTCCTTTCTCTTGCTTTTAAGAGTCTATCTTTATCTTTAATCTTTGACTGTTTAATAATGATGTATCTTGGAATGGGCATCTTTGCATCCATCATAATTAGGACTATCTGCACTTCTTGGACTTGCAGGTCTATTTCCTTCACCAAATTAAGGAGGTTTTCTTTCACTGTTTTGTCAAATAGATCTCCAATTTCTTGCTCTTTCTCTCCTCTTTTTAGCACCCATATGAAGTGAATGCCAAACCTCTTAAAGTTGTTCCAGAAGCTCTTTATACTGTTCTCATTGTTTTAAAACTCTTTCCCTCCTTGTTGTTCTGGGTCCTGTGTGTGTATGTGCATGTGTGTTTTTTTCCTCTATTCCAAATAATTGGTTTGATTCTTTATCCACTCTACTGTTATTTCCCTGTATATTATTCTTTATTTCAATTAGTATATCCTTTGTTTCTGACTGGGTGTTTTTAATGCCGCTGCGGTCTAGACTAAGTTCCTTGAGCATTCTTATAAACAGTAGTTTGAACTCTGCATTTGATAGATTGTTTATCTCCATTTTGTTTAGCTCTTTTTCTCAAGTTTTGATCTGTTCTTTCATTTGGGCCATGTTTCTTCATCTTCTCATTTGGGCAGCCTCCCTGTGTTTGTCTCTATTAGGTAGACCTGCTTCGACTCTGTGACTTGGTAGTGTGACCTGATGTAGTAGGTGTCCTGTAGTGTCTAATGGCATAGCCTACCCTATCAACCAAGCTGGGTACTGGAGGTCCACCCTTCATGTGGGCTGAGTACACCCTCTTTTTATAGTTGAGCCTTGATTGCTGTTGGCAGATCAGTGGGAGGGATTTACTTAGGCCAGTCAGCTGCAAGGACTGGCAGTGCCCACTTACCACCTTCTGCCCTCTGTGGAGGATCAGCTGTGAAGGGCCAATGTGGTAGTGCTCCAACATGGTTTATAGCTGTCCATCGGGTGCATTGGCCTTGGGGTTTCCTGGGCGGTACAAGCCAAAGTCAGCCCCCACCTGTGTTTTGCCTGGGGCACCCTGCGTGAGCTGTAAAGCAATCTGAGGTGGCTGCTACTTGGGCTAGGCTTGTAGATTCCCAGGTGCAGCCAAGCTGTGACTCTAGTCTGGCTGCTGCTAGGGCTTATTTGAGCCAGCTGTTGCTTGTTTGATAGGATTTAGGAGCCAATATGAGACATTTTGGTGGAAAAGCAGCTTGGGTGGGCCCATAAATTGGATTGGGTTGAGCCTCTGGGAATCTTCAAGGTGGGCCACACAGTGTTAGCCAGGCTTATGGAGTCTCTCATCACGGAGTACTAATCACTATATGATCACAGCAAGCTACTGGAGCCTTGATGGAGTCTCAGATATGGCATTAGCCAGGAGAACTTTGTGAAGGTAGGGCTCAGCAAAGGGACAATCATCTTTGCTCATCCTGATGCCAGACACTGTAGTCTCTCCCTGTATATCACTGGTGCCCTTCAAGCTGCCACCCCTGTGCTGGAGCTCAGGGGGAGCACATCTGAGTAGGTGCATCCATTGTGGGTTCTCCAAGAAGGAGCTTAGGGCTCCAGCAGCCTCCTCCACCATCTCAATCCTGGCTGGTTTTGCAGCCAGAAGTTGTGGGACTTATCTTCCTTGCCTGGGGGCCCTGGTGTGGGTCTGGGACTCTTTACTCCTGAGATATCCTCCCAAATCCACGTGGGCATGGGAACAGTCCATTCTGCATCTGT